CTACACATTCTGTTTAGTTTGTTTTCCTTAACACTCGTTGGGGAATTAAGGCTTAACAGGGATTTAGTTATAGGTAAACATGCTATTCTTGAAAAGCTTTCATTGCACACAAGCAATTCGTTTGGCTCTGAATCTCCTGCAGTTATGAGATCTCACTTGGACTTTAGTCTGTTAGTTTGAAAGTCGGGTTCCTGAAATTGACCAAAACTAGTAAAGCAGGATGTCACTACTGGTAATTCTTGACTTATAACCACTACTGAGTCTTTAAATGAGCCACATGCAATTTCAAGGTAATTTTTGCCATGGTTATTAATTAAATAACCACAGTTACAAATCACTGGTGGGATTCAAATTTGTTTACTACTGGTTCTGTGCGCGTGGCTTGGTGAGCATGGCAGGGGAAAGATAAAATCTCCAGTCAGAAGTGGTATTTTCAGATTTTCCGAACTACTCAATATTTTGGTTACCAGTTCTCCAGAACTGGTCAGAACCTGCTGAATACCACCTCTGTTGCAAATGGAAGTCAGTTGTCAAGTGTCAATTATGATTATGCACCTACGGGGGACACTGCAACTGTCATACATGTGAGAATTGATCATAAATCACTTTTCAGTGCCATCATAACTCCAAATGATTATTAAACAAATAGTCATAATTCAAGGACTATCTATACTGTATATTCTTTCCCAATGGGATGATGTCTGGTGAAGGGATGTTCATCAGAATGTTCCAACTTTGTTGAACAAGCCCTGCTAATACCATAGGAGACAGGACTATATACATCATAATGCAAACCTTGAATCATGCCCAGAAGCAAATTGGCAATCAGTGCAGCTCTCAAAACAGGGATATTGCATGGGCTTACTGAGGTAGGCCCACCACTGTTTATGTTTCTGTATTCTGGGCCAGCTGGATTTTCTAGCTGATGTTCAAGAGCAACCCCACGTAAAACATGTTGCAATAATTGAGCTGTAGGGTTTGAGTGATTGTATGAAGGACCATCTTTTATAGGAAAAGTGTGCAAATGCTATATCAAATGAATGCAAAGACCTTCCTGGCATGACCTTATAGGAATTTATGGTTACAGGAGCTGGGCTTGGCTAATATAGTAAAGAGAAGGACCAGGGGAGACATGATAGCAGTCTTCCAATATTTGAGGGGCTACCACAGAGAGGAAGGGGTCAAGCTATTTTCTAAAGCGCCTGTAGGCCAGACAAGGAATAATGGATGGAAACCGAACAAGGGGAGATTTAACCTGGAAATAAGGAGAAACTTTCCAACAGTGATAACAATCAACCAATGAAACACCTTGCCCTCGGAAGTTGTGGGAGCGCCATCATTTGAAACTTTCAAGAAGAGATTGGACTGCCATTTGTCAGAAATGGTGTAGGGTTCCCCACTTGGGCAGGGGTTTGGACTAGATGACCTACAAGTTCCCTTCCAACTCTGATTATCTGTTATCTGTTATCTGCTACCTGATCATAGAGTAGGACTTGTGAGACTAGAAAGAGATTGTGCACCATTTTCAAATGGAGAAGTGCTACTCCATCTCTGGAAACTGTTCCAGATTTCTGGGATGCATGGAAGATTAAGCAACAAAAGAAAGGCCAAATTTAAAAATGGACCGTATTCACCTGGTCCTATAGAAAAAAAAAGATTTCTGAAAAATTTCCCAGTGCATCCCAATGAAAGGGCAACCCCATTTTTCTTTTGATCATATGACCCAGAGCTGAGTATATACAGCCATCCTGTGTTTTCCAGTGCAATATAAACAGATACAACATGAGATAAGAGCAGTAACACACACACACACACACACACACACACACACACACACACAGATCAGCACTTATGAATCTATCATGATTAAAATATCCTCCCTGCCTCCCTCTCTCATTCTGCCTTTCTTTCTCTTTCTCAGGCACACATGCACACACATACACACTTACATTATATGCAAACATGAAATGCATACTATGGGCACTGTTTATAAAGGAGTTGGAAAGAATTTCACAAATCATATGCTTTCTCTAATTTCCTTTTCAAAGAGAGCCTATAAACTGACATGGAAATGGGGGGAAAACTTAAGAAAATCGAACTTGATGGATATGTCAGTTTCTGGATTAATGTGGATGCTCTGCATGAATTTTATATGGGAAATAAAAGGGGGGTATGCTAAGCAATTTTATCTGTTGCTATATAATTGATCTAGATACATTTCACTCCTACCATAGATGTTTCTGACCTATCTTTTAAAAATGTGTAGTCTGAAATTTGGATTGGCATTTTAGTCTTATTTTTATTCTGTACCATGCAAGAAGTTAACCTTAAGACAAATTAATGATAAGAATATCAATAACATAGTTATTGAGAAAATAGTCAGGAGACCTAAATGCAATAATTCATTCATTGGTGATTGGCTGTTTCTCAGATTGCCCCTTAAAGGCACATATTCACATGACCCAATACTTGCTACTACACTCATGTTTGAAAACATGAAATATGTGTGGATGAGTAGATATGGATAGACATACAAAAAGACAGTGCATGCATGGGATTTCTACTCTGTTATAGTTTCTTTCTTATGATTAATGTATGTTAATTCAATGTCCTGATGCTAAAGGTCATTTCCTGCAATTATTCCTTGCCTTTCAAATTTCCCTTTTTGTATGTTAAAGAACATGATGGTAGAAGAGCTGAGAGCACACGGAATGTCATACTTTGCAACTTGAAACACTGGCCTTCAACTGCACCAGCTGTTGTGATGACAAATGAAAGTTCAGTTCTCTTGAAAGATAGTAGATGACTAATAATACCAAAGCATATTCTGTCTTGTTATAATTTAATTCAACATTGTCATCTTTTGAAAGTATTGGGAAGTATCTTTTCTAGAGAAATAACTAGCAGATTCTCCATTGCAAATATTATACTCTGTCTCTGATATCAACATCAATATCCCATATTATTTTTAACATCATTGCTAGTATCTGTGAACAATCATATTAATATCAATAATGGATCAGGAATAGCCAGATGTCATTCTTAAATCAGGCATTGAAAAAATACTTTCAATTTCTGAAGAGAAATAACAAGAAAAGTTGCTGTATTGTGAAATAAAACAGCCCTTACCCAGTTTTTGCAAAATTTGCCCAGTACTTCAGTATAGATCTGCTCAGTGCTTCCTCTGCTTTAGTGTAATTAACTCTTCGCTCTAGAGGTAATCCAAATACAAACTCAATTTCATAACCATGTGGAACTCCCATCCATTCTGGCCAAGCAAGTTTTGAAGATCTGTGCTCGAAGAAGTAAAAAAAAGCATTGTTCCCTGCCAAGGCAAACTGTTTTATGAACTCTACTGCAGGGCATGCGAAATAATAATCCCCAACAATATCATCCATGGCATCACGATAATTGAAAATATTCTTCTCATCTTCCCAGTCTGTGTAGTGGAAAGCAATAGATTCCAATCCCATTTCATTTAATTTTGGAAAAACAACTTTCAAACCTGCCTGGAATTCTGTTTCATTAATAACACTGTCATTATCTTTGCTGAAGCCAGGAGCACCGTACACAAGAAAAGTAGTACCTTCATCTTTGTTTACTCCTAACAAGATCTGTGTTTGTTTAAAGTGTCCATTTTTCAGCAATATTTCTGGCATATCAGCAAGAAAGTCACCATCAACTATGGGACAAAACTGCAAACTTATAAGACCGGTGTATGTAAAAGCAGCTCCTCCTTTCTCCAATAGCTCTTGGGGTTCCTTGTTTTGAAGACAGAATATAATCTCGGTTTCATTTTTGCCGGTACAGTGGAGGAGTTCAGCTAGATCTAGAGTTCTTTTTCTTGCTTCAGATGATAGAATTGCACCCCAAGGAGCATTCCCAGATCCACTTTGCATGATCGCCCTAGTGAAGAGAGGATAGCTTTGAGGAGAAAGAAGATGAAAACTAACAGACCCTGCTCCAGCACTTTCTCCAAACAAGGTCACACTTTTAGAATTACCTCCAAAGGCTCCTATGTTGTCATGGATCCATTGAAGTGCGAGCCTTTGATCAAACAAACCTACATTTCCTGGGGCATCTTCATTTCCTGGCAAAGCCAAGAATCCAAAAGGCCCTAATCTATAATTCATTGATACAACAATGACTCTTTCCACACGAGCTAGAAATTTGCCATCATAAACAGAGAGTGAAGATGTCCCACTGTAGAAGCCACCTCCATAAATCCATACCATGACTGATGCATTTTTAGGCTTGGGAGAAGGAACCCATATATTGAGATAAAGACAGTCTTCACTAAGTTTTGTGTTTGGATTCCACATCTCTGACCCTTCAAAGCCAGGGAAAGTATTATCTAGGAGTTGAAAGCAAGAGTTGGCATATTTGGTGGCACTCCAAGTTCCTTCCCATTCTTTTTGAGGTTCTGGCTTTTTGAAACGTAATCTACCAACAGGTGGTGTAGCAAAAGGAATCCCAAGAAACGCAGTTACTGTTCCACCAAGCACAGGTAAATGAATACCTTTGACCATTCCATTCTTAGTAGCAATGATGGTGTCATCTCCAGCAGGGAACACCTTCTTGACAAACATACAGAACAGAAGAAAGCACATTATAATTTTTGTATGGCTCCACATCCCATTGGTATGCATCATCAATTCTGAAATAAAAGAAAAAAAGAAAGAGTTTAAGCAGAACTTTCAGATGCAGAAATACAGCGAGTCACTGCATTAGGGACCTGTGTTGCATAGCCTCAAGAGACTAAGTGACAGCTGTACTCAAACCAAATGCACCTCAAAGACATTCCAGTTGGGAAACTGTCCCAATTTCATTATTTACAAAATATAACCAGATGGAAGTGAAGAAAAGATAATAAAAAACACCACCTGCAATACCACTTCATTTTGAACACTAAACTGAACATTCCCACATTCACTGATAACCAGCCAGCACCTAGCCAGAATCTAACTGAGAATATGCATCTTCATTCAGATGATCCTTTGTCATGCAAACTCAGACTGCAAGCCCAGCTCCACCTTAAATTGAAGGTGAACATTGTTTGCTTGTTTGAGAATAAAGGATGCAGAGTTATGAAAATGATCCTTGGAAAACTGTTCCCAAGCTCTTGATAAATGCCAGAATCTAATAAAACCTGGAAAATTTAGAGTAACTAAGTCTTGAAACAAGTTTGTTCCAGCAATTGGAAAACCTATTTATAAGGAACAGTTAATGGGTTTGAGCTAAAAATATATAAGACAACTTTTATTTTGGAATGTGTATAGCTATTTATAATTTTCACTATAATGCTGACAAAATAATGTTTGGAATTATTCAACACCGATTTGAGCCTTGCATGGAAGTAAGGTCTTTATTTTATATGAAGATAACAGCAATGAGTTGAAATTTATCACAGGGAGATTCAACCTGGAAATAAGGAGGAATTTCCTGACAATAATAACTATTAATCAATGGAACAACTTGTCTTCCAGAATTGTGAGTGCTCCATTGTTTGAGATTTTCAAGAAAAGATTGGACAACCATTTGTCAGGGATGGTATAAGAACTCCTTCCTTTGGCAGGGGGTTGGACTCCAAGGTACCTTCCAGCCCTATAATTCTATTATTCTATGGATTTAAGTTAAAAAAAATAGTGGTAGATTGGAAATGACGCAGGATTGACACAGGAGAAGTTTGTTCAAACAAGTAATTTTAGAAAAGTTTAAATCATTATTTAATCCATCATGGACATTTTAAGAGATCGAGGTTATGCAGAACAGAACAGAACAGACAGAAAAAATAATGTGTTCACAGTGGCTTGTTTGGTAAGAATGGTTATCTCTGTATGTGTGTTTTTGTGTATATGTGGATGTGTATACATGAATGTATAATCCCTTTTGACTGCTTCATAATGTATCTAATATAGGCCTACTTTGGGAGTCAATTCTTGAATAATAGTAAAAAAAAAGTAATATTTGTATATTCTTAATAAATATCATAGGGAAAATGCTCCATAATAATATGCAGTAACTGGGACATTTTGAGTAATTTCCTCTTGAAAGAAAGATACAGGAAAGGTGTGGGGGTATTCCATGTCCTCATTACTGTCATTTTAAACAATCTGTTCTCAAGTCATTTGAGTAATGCTTCTAGCCTTAGAAGGGGCTGAGTTCATTTCTGTGGAAAATACAGCTGCACAACTCTTAGAGAGCTGTTTTGCTCATTGCAAGCTAAGATTCTGAAAGCTGAGAATAGAAAATAGGAACATTTTTCCTTTAAGTGTTTCCTAAATATATGACACTATCAAAGAAAGTGAAGGACAGATGAGGAATATCAGGAACAATATTTCACTGATTCAGTTGAATGCAAGAGCAAATGAAAAGCCACAGTATAGGATGAGTATTGAAAGGAACAGTAAATTTTATATTCTGCATTCCATAAAGAAATATGAAGTATTATCTTTAAACTGTACTCATTGAGCAACTTACAGGAACAACATGTGCATGCATGAATGTTATGCTTTAATAGAGGGATAGAATCAAGATCATGCGAAGTTCAGGTGCTGCTTTACAAAGCCTTAGTGAGACAACACTTGAAATATTGCCTCCAGTTCTGGTCACCATGAGATGAAAAGGATGTTGAGACTCTGGAAAAAGTTCAGAGAAGAGCAACAAAAATGATTAGGGAGCTGGAGACTAAAATGTACGAAGAATGGTTACAGTAATTGGGTATGTCTAGTCTAATGAAAAGAAAGACTAGGGGGGGACATGCTAGCACTACTCCAATATTTGAGGGGTTCCTTCAAAGATGAAACTATTTTCCAAAGCACCAAAAGGCAGGACAAGAAACAATGGCTGGAAACTAACCAAGGAAAGAAGCAACCTAGAACTAAGGACAAAATTTCCTGATGGTGAGAGCAATTAACCAATGAAATATCTACAGAAGTTGGCTACAGAAGTTGTGGGTGCTCTGATCACTGCAGGATTTCAAAAAGAGACTGGACAACCATTTGTCTGAAATGAATAAGGTCTGCTGCCCAAGTAGAAGGTTGGATTAGAAGACCTACAAGGCCCCTCCCAATTCTATTATTCTATATTCTATGTTCTTTTAAGTCTGGTGGAGCATGCGACTGCTTTAGGGAATATGAGAAATGCTTTGAATGATTTGAATATGATTTGAATGGACTTAGTCCTAAAACTTGGTTTTAGGTGGACGAGTATGGATGCCTCTTGCCAGGGAGTAAAACAACAGAAGTGACAGGCTTTCTGCACCATTCCTAATTTCTCTAAGGTTTGGCCAAATCAAATATCTTTTCACTGATGAATAAAGCAGATGATGATAGGTTGCCCCAATATGGCAGAAATTGTCTAGACAATGGAGAGAAGGATCTCTACATTGACTACTGCGCTGATTATATCAAAAGTAAGTCACACAACCCACAATCCCACATCCAACCCTACCTCATCCAACCCACCATCACTCAAAACTAGGTACGCATGCCCCTAACTACCTCAATTCCAACTACAACTAGCCTTAAATGCAAGCTACTCAATGCAAGAATCCTTGTAAATAAAATACCTGAATTTCTCCTCTTACTAAATATGGCTAAATTCGACATCATATTTGTCTGTGACACATGGCTCAATGCATCTCTTCCTGACTCCATTAGCAGAGTAAGAAACTATCATGTTTACCGATCAGATCGTTAAATCTGTAGAGGAGGTGGTATTGCTATTTTCTATAAAAATATCCAAGTTACCCAAGATATCCATCTAAAAAATATCCAAGTTACCCAAGAGCTTGCTCTTCCTGAGACCATCGTCTGTGAACTGTCCTTAAATAACACATTTCAATTCTTACTATGTTACAGAGCCCCTGATTATGACATCGAACATGTAAACAAGCTAAATTCACTACTAACATGGGAAACATCCTGTCCACACACTTTTATCTTTCTTGGTGACTTCAATCTACCTCACATTAACTGGACCCTAAATGAATGTAAAACTGAACCCATACATGCAACCTTCTACAATGCTGTAACAAACCTGGGACTGGAATAACTAGTAACCAACAATACTAGACTTAACAACTGCCTCGATCTCATCTTCTGCAATAGTTTGAATTCAATTTACGGAATACAAATTAAAGAACCCTTTTCCAACAGTGACCACAACATGATTGACTTTTGTCTCAACATACGTCCACACAAAAGTCAACACAATGATGTGATCCCCAATTATAACTTCAAAACAAGCAACTGTAATCTTATAGACAACGATATCTCATCCCTTGATTGGCAATTTCTATTCACTGGATGCAATACTGTTGAAGACCATTACAACATATTTTTACTTGAAGTCAAAAGAGTCATCAAACTATATTTACCAAAAACAACTCCAAAAACCAGAAAAAACAGATTACCCATAACAATAAGGAAGCTTCAATCCAAAAAGAGATCACTCTGGCAGAAAAACAAATCTGGTCATGTTGCCAACTTCAAAAGTCGATACAAACATTTATACCACCAGATAAAGACTGAATGCACCAATTATCACATTAACAAGAGGAAAACCTTCTAAGAACCAATTCTACCTGCACTTGGTACAATTTTGTAAACAACAAACTAAAAGACTCAAGGTCCATCCCACCCCTGAAAGGACCTAATGGTAAAGACTGCAACGACAACACTATTAAAGCCAATCTCTTTAACACATTCTTTGGCTCAGTATTTGTAAACAGCAATGGATCATTCCCAGTATTTCCTAGTTGAACCACAGACAACTACAATGATCTAATACATATCAATTTTAAAGAAGACAATGTTGAAAAAGCACTACGCAATCTAAAATCATCTCTATCTATTGGACCGGATGGAATAAGTGCCTACTTCTTAAAAAAGCTACCCATTGCCATAGCTGAACCTCTAAGCATAATCTTCAAAAAATCTTTCAGGACCAGCTCCTTGCCAAAACTATGGTCACAAGCCATGGTCATCCCCATCTTCAAAAAGGGAGACCCCAGCCTAGTTGAAAATTACAGACCAATCTCTTTATGCTGCGTCACCTTTAAAGTCATGGAATCAATTATTAACCAATCCATTATCCTCCACTTAGAGACAAACAACCTACCCTCTACCTACAATTTGGTTTTAGGAAAAAACTATCCTGCAATCTGCAACTCTTACACTGCAAAAACATATGGACTACACAACTCTATCAGGGCAAAGCAATAGACGCAATCTACATAGACTTCTGTAAAGCCTCTGATTCAGTGGTACACAACAAACTACTCCTAAAACTAAAATCTTATGGTATCTTTGGACACCTGCCTAATTGGATAGAAGCATTCCTGTCAAACAGACAACAAATGGTCAAAATTGGGAGTGTCCTATCAAATTCTGTACCTGTCAACAGTGGTGTCCCCCAAGGCAGTGTTCTAGGACCAACTCTCTTCATACTCTACATAAATGACCTCTGTGATCATATTAAGAGCAACTGCATTCTTTTCGCTGATGATGTAAAGCTGTTCAACACCACAGACAATACTGCTACCCTTCAAAAAGATCTTGACTATGTATCAGAATGGTCAAACAAATGGCAACTTCAAATCTCAACAAATAAATGCTCTGTCTTACATATTGGCAAAAAAAGTCAGAAAATAAAA